TTCGATTTGCGCCGATTTCCTCCCAGTCATCTTCATAAACTTCGTAATCGCCCAAATCTCCACTATCATAGAGTCCTTGTACGTGTATTAAAGTGTGAGGACTCACCTGTGGTCCAATCACTCTGTTAGATTAAATTGATACAAAAAAATTTTCTCGTACCTCCACCTTTCTTTCCTTCCTTTCCCCCTTCATGCGAACAACTTTTCCACTATCATTCGTCGATCTTTTCGTCTTGTTCGAAATAATCCTCGTACCAGCTCTTTTATTTTCCGCTTTCTAAACAGTTTCAGCACTGAGAACATGGAAATTATGCGTATAGTAGCAACTAAAAAAACAAACATTTGGTTTTTCTCCAATTTGGCTTCGTTTGCTTCTAGTATTCATGTAGACAACATTCTCTTTTTGTCTTTTTCCTTCCTCACTCGAAGAGGATTGTTTGTCCTTATGTAGTTCCACAGAAGCGTTATTCAGTCTGTTTTCATCTTCATCATAATCTTCATCGCTTGTATCGCTAATTGCAGGTAGCTCCTAAAGATGGCTAGTGGAAACAAATCTTTTACGTTGTTTTACATTCTGCTAGAAACTTTGGTGGATTTTGGGAAGATTTTTGAGGAACTTCTTTCCACAGAAAAGAGGAAAGTAGATACAAGACGATGTACACCAAGTTCAACGGGAACTACTAAATCTAAAAGTCTCGTCTTCTCACTTCAGCTTGCACACCTTCAGTCATTCCCCTCCTTTCTAGTAAAAAGTTGTGCTAACCTCAAACTCCTCATCGATGTCAAGATAATCATGAGGAGTGCCATCTTCCTTATCACTCGCTTTCTCCTCCGAAGATCGCTCAACAGAAGTGTTCGTGTTGCTCTCCACCTCTTTGTTTGCTTTTTTTGAAGGTTTACTCGATAACTAAAATTAAGGGGAGGGATTTCAGAAACACTTGAGGTGTTGCAAATTAGAAAATCAACACTTAGAGGCGAACTGTTGATAATCACCATAATTAAACCAAAAGGAGACCTCAAGTTTCGCCATTGCAGCCTTCTGGATCTCCTCCCGGATGATTTGCTCCATTCTTTCGTCGGCTAGAGCTCTAGCTTTTCCTACTTTTTGCAAATCGCTGGTGGATGTTGATTTTGGGAGAGTCCCAGGCGATCCAGCAGATGACACTCGACGACTCTAGAAGAATTTTGATTAGGAGATCCCATATCACAAAGTCCGTAATTTTTTTTTGCTCTGCTCAAGAACTGAGAGAATTGCGCATAGTTAAGTAAGGCATGCGGTTCTACCAACATGATACTCACCGATGTGTTCACTCCGGTGCTCGCCATTTTGCGTACTGATTCTTGAGCTATCGAACTTCTCCGCTTCGCTTTTGTCCTCTTCATCAAAGCGTCGTTTTCTTCGTCTTCATCAAGAAGGTGTCGTCCGCGAGCTAGTTTCGCTGTAATATGGCTCTGCATTGGGTTACAAACAGAAAATGCTTTTCACAACAAGAAAATCAAAGTAGACAAACTGAAGCGAGAAATTGGCGTTTTTAATAGTGGTGAAAAAGTGTACAATGCAGAACGAACTTTCTAGAGTACATGCGGTATCTTCAGTAATTAACCATTCTTGTTTTGGCGTTACCATCTTTTCGTTGTATTTCACCCGATCTTTTCAGCTTTATTGATATTTATTCAGTGAAATTTTACTTTTGAAAGGCCAACAAATATGGCATACTTTTCTTTAAAAGTACCACAGAAAACAAGCAATTCCATAGCTTTTTAACAACATCCTTGAGCTTTCAAGTTCAGTAAGTTACGAATCGAAAAATTTACAAGAGAAGATTACAGTATGCCACAGATAACGATTTTGTGAAAATGCC